AAGAAGAAAGAAAGAAAGAAGGAAGGAAGGAAGGAAAGAAAGAAGGAAAGAAAGAAAGAAAGAAAGAAAGAAAGAAAGAAAGAAAGAAAGAAAAGAAAGAAAGAAGAGAGAGAAAGAAGAGAGAGAAAGAAAGAAAAGAAAGAAAGAAGGAAAGAAAGAAAGAAAGGAGAGAGAGAGAAAGAAAGAAAGAACGAAGGAAGGAAGGAAGGAAGAGAGAGAAAGAAAGAAGGGAGGAAGGAAAGAAAAGCAGGTAATATAATAACTGAAGGGTTTAAACGAAACTATGAATTAAAAAGTAAAAGCAAGTCACACTAGATCTTGAAGCTTGAGTCAGACTTGAATGCTCATTAAAAAAAGCAAAGTAGTTGTGACTCTTTTAATGCCTACGGAATGACCTCAAACCCCCTTTCTTATTCACACTACGCTCTCTGGTGTCTAACCACATTTCAGTATCATTTCTCTATTAAAAAAAATAAAACTCCCATACATGTACACTGACATCCTCTTTGAAATATGTAGGAATTGAGTTTGAGGATACTTTTTCTTCAAATAATTAAAATACTCTTCAGAGGAAAGACACATTTTGATGGCAATTAAGGAAAGCAAAACAGTATTGTCTTGTTTTTCACTGACTTTCAGGAATACGGACGGCTGGCTTCTTTGTATCTTTGTTGATAGTCTTTGGTGGGCAGTTTGGATGAAATAGAACATGTGGGATTACTAACAAGTTTGGAGTTGGAAAGATTTTGCTTTTCTTGAAAAAAGACTTGAAAACAGAGGGCTTTTCCCAAGATTAACATCAAATCAGAAGTTTTTCGAATAAAAATTTGCTTGAATAAAATAAAAAATACTAACCACAAGAATGCGATCAGTTCTGCGAAGTATAGACTTCACTACCAGAAAGTCTGGATGAATTTCTCCCACCGGCTGAAAGGGACTGAAGCAAGAGTGAGGTGATGTGAGAACCCACCAATGTGGGACACGTGTCAGGACCAGGAGTGGTGCTGCACTTGTTTGCACCTTGGAGGGCAGGACACACCGGTGGTGAGTATACCTCACTCTGTCGATGAAGTCACCGATCCCAGGCTTTTAAGTTGGCTGCCAAACGCTGTACACACCTTGTTAAAGCCGCCATTTGTCCCTTCATGTACCACTTTTGAGGGTGGGGGGTGGAGAGCATCTCACCAGGGAAACACTTACGCGGCCCCAGAACCCAGAGAGGGCTGGCTCCTGGGGGAACTCATCTGGTCTCATCCTCCAACCAGGAGAGCGAAGCTGATGTCAACCCCCTGGCATTTATACCTGAACCCCCGAAAGGCAGGGCTGTGTGTGGAAGTACTTTAAAGAGCAGTCTAAACAGAACTCTGATTCTCCACAATTGGGCACAACCATGTAGACTGGCAGTTCTTCATTCTTGAGATGGACCGTTCATCACTGTATTCTCACCTGGAAAGTGCTGACCTCCGGGGCCGTGGCAGGAGCATTTGGACAACATGGCAGTGGGTGGGACAACATTGGCTTTTCTCTATGCAGCGGAAGAACCCCTCTCTGAAGACGACAGGTTAGCACTGTATCCATACACCAAACGCATACGCACAGGCGTTCGCGGGGTCATTTTTCACATACGAATGATGGCTCTAATTCTACGTGGGTTAAACCAGCAAACTACCTCCTTCAAACTTCCTTGATTCAGGATGGAATTCTGTAAGTCTAGGCTCTAAATCTGAATTCCCACCTCCCAGTGCAGCGCTCCCCTGTTTGAAGCTGTGGGAAAGGCGGACAGGACAAGATGTTTTTGAAGCAGAGAACCCCAGCTGGCATTCCTGAAGAGCTTTCCAAGCATCAGTAGACACCTGTTCACAAGAAATTTGAGGCTTGGAATTCTCGGGGTGACGTTCAAAGTGAATCACACCCTCCCAGGAAGTGAGATTGGTGGGGATGAACAGATGACCTGGAGAGTCATCTCAAGATTAGGCTCAAGACGTGGGTTGAAGCTCCCTCCTTACCAGCAGCAAAGTGACCCCCTGCAAGTCACTTCACCCATCTTGGCCTCCATTCCTGAATCTGCAAAACATGAATAAAATCTACACAAATGGACCAGACTTGCGTTGGTTATGAGGCTTGAAGGTGTCACTGTATTAACAATCCTTAGTAAACTTGAGAGCCCTTCTTTCAGGAAGATGTAAAGCAGACAATTAGACTAACCCTATTTTCTTCCCAGCGTCCGACTCTAAACTTGCTCACGCACAGGCACTGCTTTCTAATAATTAGGGCCGCATCTTTCCCTCCAGCTGGGCGTGTTCAGAGTGTCTCAGGGCACCCTCTGCTCTGCCCCACCCCCTTAATTTCAAAAGCCCAGCGCATCCACTGCACTTTCAAAACTGACTAATGGTTTCATTGGGGAAACAAAACACATGATGAAGTGTCTGCTCTAATGCAAAAGCTTAAAAAAACCAAAACAAACCAATAAAAAAAGTGTGGCAATGCTCAGGCTGGCCACACCCACACCTCCACAGGCAGCGTCCATCTGAGTCGCCTCCACAAAGGGCCAGCCTACTCTTCCAATTCCCCTTAATTTTTCTAGTAAAAAATTTAATTTTTCATTGAGATATAATGGACAAATATCACTGTATTCATTTTAGGTGTACAACATAATTAAGCATTTTTTTCAATCCTCCTTAATTTCTGCCGAGAAAATGTGAACACGGGTGGCAGCTGGGGGCGGAGGGTAAGGTTCTAAAGACATAGGCTTTGAATCAGACAGAAGGAAGTTCGGGGGGGAGGGTGTAGCTCAGCGGTAGGGCACATGCTTAGCATGCTCGAGGTCCTGGGTTCAATCCCCAGCACCTCCATCAAAACCAACAGCAACAACAAAAAAGATCTTAATTAAACTTACTTTAAAAAAAGAAAAGAAGGGAGTTCAAATGCTGCAGGGCTAGTTCCTGGCTGGTGTGGCCCTGGGACACATGGCTGCACCTGCCAGAGCCCTGCCTGGCTGCACACGGACGCCTGCTTCACAGGGCCGAGGCCGGGACCCACTGCAGGTGCTTGGACTGGCTGCCTGGCTCAAACCAGGGGCTCCCCAGATGTCAGTTTCCCTCCTCATATGATCTTAGATTTTAAATTGAAATTTAAAATTTAAAATTCCTCCTGGAACAGCAAAGTGTCTGTGGCACAGACTGCCTGCCAACCTCAAATTTGTTTTGGGAGAAAATGTGACCTTGTGCTCCCAAAGCAAGCACCCTGTCTGAAATGCACCCGCAAAGAAGCTGGCAGGAGCTTCCTGGGCCAGCACTCGGGCTGGCGCTCCCAGCACCAGCGGGGAAGGCAGGGAAGGCTCCTTCCCCGGGGAGGAGCCCCATCTCCGTGGGCTGGTTGGCGCTGAAGCCACATAGCGCAGGGCTGACATCAGCGCCCGCCTGGCTCGCCCCCGGGCGCTCCCAGAGGAAGCTGCTCCTGTAGGTTTGGGGTCTGAGCGGGTCTCCCCAAGAGGCAGGCTCTGGGGGACAGGGACACAGGTGGCCTGTGTGGCTACTCTGTCTTCCCGAAGGCTTTTCCGTCTCTGAGGCACCTCACGGGGCACATTTCTTCCAGCTGACCCGTCATCAGCCTCCCTGCTGTAACCACGCCCCGTGGGCCCAGGGACAAGCCACAGGGAAACAAACAAGGCTTTGATTCCTTTGTGAGAAAATCAAAGAACTGCGAAGCTCACTTAAAGGAGAGAGACAGAGACAGAGACAGAGAGACAGAGAGACAGCACTCTGACCACACACTGTTTACTACTTTCGACAAACAGACCCAGTCGGAAGGAAGAACCGTGGGGTTTGCTTTATGAAACCGCCGGGGTGACTGTTTGGTAGCTGGTTTGGCTGCTGCTACCCAGTGGAGGAGGGCTCTGAAACGAGCCCTTCAGAGTCAACCTTCTTAAAAAAAAAAAAAAACCCTGAACACTCTCGCCCTGGAAAAAAAGACAGCTTGCCAAATTCAATTTTCCCTTGGCCAAAGTAACTACCAGCAATTCAGTCCTCCAATGAGGTTACAGAGGAATTATTTCCCCTTGACTTCAGAGCAAACACCTTTCATGTGACCTCCAAACATGTTACTCATTTTAAAGGTACACAGAGCAAACCTCTCCCCTGGATTTTTTTTTTTTTTTTTTTGTGCTTACTCCAGAAGAGTGCTTCTTACGGAATTCTATGATTGGAAGCCAACAGGGTGGTTACCCTTTGGGGAGGAGGAGGACAGGGCAGGGGTCCCGGGGTGGGGTGCTTCCAGATGCTGGTCACGTTCTGCTGAGCGGGTGCTTGCCACACAGGCGTGTTCGCTATGGAAACTCGGGCAGCTGCACACCGTGAGCTCTGCACTCTTCTGAACATAAAAAAGCTACTCCCCACCACAGCAGAGCAAACTACGGCTTCTCAGAAGATAGCAGAACACCTTTCTGTGCACACACAGCCTACGGAGACGCACCTGAGCAAGACACTCAACAGTCATGTCACACACACAGCACGAACCGGGCCCTCAGAAGGCACACTCCATCCCTGAACGGAACCATCCTGCCGTCCCCACCAGTCGCTCCCCCAAACATACCCAAGCCTGGTCTGCAGCAGCCAAGTCAGGCACAACGTGAAGTCTACTTTAAGAAGCTGTGTTTTGGCTCGAACCAGTCCAGGGGGTGGTGCGGGCTGCTGGTTTGAACTCGGGAGAAAACTGCCCCCAAGATAACTAATGCGGGATGCACTGTCCTGCCAGGC